AAAACACATGCTTTGCTATGCTACTCTTATGTATAAAACACAAAATATGCAAACCAAAGAGGATGGCATGGGTAAAAGCACCTGTCCTTCTAAATATAAAATAATTGGTGTTTTGAAAGTCTTGCTTTCCATCCAATATCCAATACATCACCTTAGAAAAATGTAAAGTTGGAAACATTATTCAGACAAGTAACACCTCAATAGAATGTAAGCTCTTTGAGGGCAGGGTTTTTTGCTGGTATCGATCCCTGAAATATCTAAGGTCCTAGAAAAGGGCCTGACACATAGTAGGTACCCAGTGGATTTTTGTTGAATAAAAAACATCAAGGAAAGGAATTTTCTGATTTCTCTTTTTTATTTTCAGATTTTCACCAATGGGGACTCTGGTGCTAACCCCTATGTTGCTGTGAATATCTTGATTGCTGTGGGTGCTACCATCATGATTCTGGGTTTCCTGGGGTGCTGTGGTGCCGTGAAAGAGAGCCGCTGCATGCTTCTTTTGGTGAGTTCTCCAGACAAATCCCAACTTTCAGACTTCTGAGAATTATGTCCTACCCCCATTATCTATCAAAAGGACTTGCCAAGATAGATGGAACTCTAACACTAACTTCTGTTTAGAGGGTTTGATGGTGGAGGCTAATATGTTTAGGTTAGACTAAAGGACACCCTGAGAGAAGACAAATTTAGTCTTCATTTATTCATTATTACTGCTTACCTGCTACGTGCCAGATACTATGCTAAATGATGCACAGACAATTAGAACCCATTAGGGAAGATGGACAAGTGACAAAATATCTATGGTGGGAGTGGCTCAAGAAGAAAAGCGCAAAGTTATAGGAGGGAACTTTTAAGCCAGAAGCCGAAGTGAATAAGGTATTTGTACAGATGAGATTGTAATGAGCTTTCCAGGGGAAAAACACCTGGCCTTTTGGGCAAACTGCAAAGCCTTGGGTATGGCTAGAGAGTGGCAGAGGCTATTTTCGGTAAATAATGGGAGATGGGTCTGAGTGAGGACTGTGGCAAAATCATATTCCATGCTAAAATAATTGTAAGGGAGTGAGATAATCATATCTGTCACTTAGAAAGCTTCAAGGAGGATGGATTGGGTTGGGATAACCCACAGACTTCACTTTTACAATACACAGTAGAAACTAATAAACGGATACTGAAAAAATATTAGAAAAGTCATCAAATATTGATTAGATATAAATATGACATGAGTTTATCAGAGCTCATCTAAACTTTTCTCTCATAAAATAAGTATTTGTTTTAATTGTTTATTATGAGGGAAGGTAGAGAAAGAGTTTTAATGAGACTCCAATAAGATCCATAGTGGTTGTTTTTTGATTAATAAGGTCTCATTTGAATTGAGGAATTTCATTAGTTGAGGATCTTGTTTTAAAAAATAATTTGTGGGCCGGCCGAGTGGCTCAGTTGGTTAAGAGCTTGCTCAAGAGTGCGAGCTCTGAGCAACAGTGGTTCGAGTCCTGGCCTGAGCTGAGCAGCCGCTGAGCTGCCAACAGGTGGCAGGACGGCTCAGCTAAAAAAAAAAAAAATTAATTTGTGAGCTGTATTCTCCAAAGTTACAATTCAATGGATCTGAGGCAAGTTTTAGGAATCTACATTTATAACAAGGCCCAGGTGATCCTGATCATGGTAGAAACATTTTGCAGTCAGTTCTGAAGTTTGTTTTGAAATTTGTGTTTGATGAAGAAAGAAGAGAAAGGTAATATTCAAATAATTTCATCTAAGTTTTAAAACTTTCCCCCATTCAGCATCATACTGATGCCTACAATTTCATGAGTAAATTTTCATTTTAACCACTTTCTATGGTCAGTCTTTGGAGCAAATGTTTCTGAGTAGTAATGGTCTCAAAATTTGCTTCTTGAGGCAAAGGGTGAACTAAATAAAGGGTGGGTCACACTAATATGACCCAGACTGCAGAAACAAGTGCCACGTCAAAACATCCCAATATGTTATTGAATGAACTGGAGATAATATATATGCGTTTTCTTTTTTCTTCAGTTTTTCATAGGCTTGCTTTTGATCCTGATCGTGCAGGTTGTGGCAGGCATCCTAGGAGCGTCTTTCAAATCCGAGGTGTGTACAAATATGATATTTGATAATTTTGGAAACGCCTGAAAAATTGAAATACTACCGTATGGCTTGAATAATTCCACAATATATTTTTCATTTTCAGTTTGAACAGATTCTGAATGGCACTCTCCATGAAAACGTAAAGCTTTTGAGCTCAACCGATGAAAATGCAAAAGCATTCCAGGAGGCCCTGTCTGAATTTCAAGAAGAGGTAACTAGAATGTGTAGGTCATTTGGGGGCAGTTGGACATAGTTCCTCTGGGTTTACTTAATTTTTAACAGGCGGATTCCTTAAAGATTAAAAAATGTCTCCATTTTGCAGATTTTGACTAATTATTCTGTCCCCATGCAATAAGAAAAATCCAGGAATATTTCTATTTTCTTCCCCGAGCATCTTGTGGAGATCTAAAGCAGTTTAAAAGGACAAAGATTAAGAAGATATATTTTATGACAGATTAAGCCTCATTTGGGTCAAATCAATAATTGGTTAAATATTTACCATTTAGAAGCATAGTGTGTTTGGGGTGTTTAGAGAGCCTCCCTCTCTCTCACTCCATGCCCCTCCCCTCATAAAAATAATTATAGCTATCCTTTATTATTACTTACTTATGCACCAGGCTTTACATGGAGTAGCTCATTTAACTCTCACGACAACACTATCAGGTGGATAATATAANCTGGGGATAAGAATGAATTCATAAAGCTAGACAGCATCTTCAGTTACATTTGACTATTGTGCTCTGTCAGCCTCTAACCCTGAACAAAAGTCAGTATCTGCCAGGCCAACATTTACCAGCTGGACGTATGTGAATTGGGTTGATTTCTATTTTATCTGAAGTCAGTCACAAAGAATCCAGACTTTGCAAAGAACTGAATTTTACTAGTGGAAAACAGAGGTAGTAATTTTAAAAAGAGAAGCATGAGCATAAACACAGAAAAGAAGGATGTCAGGGAGGTATTTGGCAATATCTCTTTGTACTCAAGTGTCTCCTTAGGGGTGCTTTCCTCAGGATCAACAGCATTGTGAGGCAAGGCACCTGGGCAGCCATGCTTGCCCCAGGAAATCCCTTAGAATCCAAAGAGGACCTGGAGCCCTCTGCTTCCAGGTTCCACCATTCCTTCTCCTTTAGACATTCTCTCCTTGTCCTAAGACATTGTTCATCCAGACAGCTTGTAACACTGCTGTCCCTCTCCTGGAGCAAACACCTGAGCTCAGATTTCTACTTCTTCCCTGAATAAGAACAGCCACTTGATGGGCTGGACTTGAAACAGTGACCCTAGGCAGCCAACACACTGCTTCCTGGCCAGTCTGGCCGTGGGTTGCCTGCCCATGTCAGGCTCATAGAAGTGTTCCATTACCTGGCTGCATCCTCCAAGTCTCACTTGTGGATATTTGACCTATTATTTCTCTGTCTGGGCCATTTAAGCAAAGTTTTGAAAACTCAGCGAGGCTTCAGCCCTCTCCGATGCCTTAGGGTTTGCCTGCACTGGCCATGACATTCTAGTAAAGCAGGATTTGATGGTGAGTGAGTAGAGAGGGTTTCCTAATGCTGTGTTTTTTGGGTTTTGTTTGTCATTTTCTGTTTTGACCCAGATGCCATGCCAGTGTATTAACAAAACTGATGTCTTAGCACCAAACTTAAACGAACAAACCACCATCAAACACAAAACATGAAAAAGAAACAAAAAAGTCTTTAGGACATATGTAAATGGGAAGGGTTCCAAATATGTAAATTGAAACATTATCTGTAAGCATAGA